GATCCGCCGCTGATCACTACTTGCCACGGCTTTTTTCTGTAACCCCATACTAATCTAAAACAAAGCCGTAGTCACAAAGACAATCTACTGTTTTTGCTTTTTTTTGGTCTTGCTTTCTTTATCCATGAACTGTATGAAGCAGCAACTTTGCTTGAAAAAGTGTCTGTACATGTGTAGCATGGTGTTATACGGGAATCTTGCTCTTTGCCTTGGTGGACAGAAGAAAAAATGCTTTTGAGAAAATGAAAATGAAAATAAACCTTTTAAAAAAGTCATAACCGAGAAGATCGTTCAAATCATCGTGACGCTTAACCTGCTGGCTTTTCAAGTGTTTGTGACAGTTGTCACTGGTAGATTCCAAACACTTCGTAGTCTGTCACATTAAAATTTCTAGCTCCTGTAAAGAAGCTGTTCTGCTGTCCGGTGGGAAGCTGATAGGTGTGGCCGAGATTATTGTAACTTGAACCACTTGTGTTTGCGCTATCTGATACAAAGAGGTCATGCCCTCCTCCAAATGTTGGTCCATTGCCGCTCCCACAGTAAATAGCATTTTGCTGATTTTTGGCAAGTGGCATTTTACTCGGAGCCACTCCCTGCGGATTCACCATGCTGAATAAGAATGACTGTGAGCAGTGCAGGTAATTACCCTGACCTGTTTCAGGAAAAAGAAACAAAAATATTATTGGCGCAAATTTTGGAATAACGTTTGGATTAAATTCCTTTAGCAGATTTCCATCATCGCCATGATATCAGATGGAGGAGTTAAGAGGTGATGACGTCCAAAAAGAGCCGCGAACTACTGCCCCCTTCCCTTTCCACTCCCACCACACAAACACCTTTCCCTGAATTGCAGAATTGAGCTATTTACTTACTGTTCCACGAATTTTCTGTGAAACCACCGAAAATATTGTTTCCACTTCTTACAATGGTAACTGTGGGTCCTTTGTTATCACATTTGGAGTGAAAGGCTTGAGCGGTGAAACCATCTCGCGAAGCTCGGAACAGAAGATGCCATTCGCTGTCTCGTGGAGGCAACCAACCTTTAAGTGTACTCCGCTGCTCTACATTCATCAGTATCGCTGATTCTTTAAAATACTTCAGCATTTTATACTTCAGATCTTCCAGTAGCCCCTTAATCTGGTAAAACTTAGCCTCAGCTTCGAGTTCCTTGAGGAATTTAGCACCCTCTGGTACAATCAACTCTCCATCACGGAGATAGTTGAGTATGAACCGGAAGTGTTTCCCATCTCGATCGATAAAGAAAGCTCCGTCTTCGGAAGGTCTAACCTCGAACTTCCCGGAGAACATGGCAGCTAACATCGAGTCTGGATCTTTAGTCAACGTCTGAAGACTTGTCGTGAAACGGCGGCCGCCAACATTGAGGTTTATCGTCGAAGAAAGGTGGACATGGTCTATTTTCTTCGACATGGCGTCGATTGCTTCTTGCTCCTGACGAAGTCTTGTTGCTTCTCTTTGCAATACCTCACAGACCTCTTTAATTTGATTTTCAGCGTCTTTAAAAACTTGATTGTTTGGGTTACTTCCTTTTTCAATGCTTTTTTCACTCATATTCTAACAGAGGAACAACTGTTGCTCCAATGCAGCACGCGGCGGTGACAGCGAAACTTCAGACAAAAATTGTAAACTTGCATTGGTCATGTGACAAAGTGACAGTTGTCGAACCGTAACAGTCAAGAGTAACGCAATCCTTATAATAGCGTA